ATCCCACATCAGCGCTGCAATGTTTTAGCCTGTAGAACTTGGGTATTGCTGATAAAGAGTACTTGGTACTGAATTACCTGGTGGTCTGGTCTCCCAGAGGAATTCCCCATTTGTGGGGATATGCTGCTGTATTTGCCTTTGGTAACTACTCACAAAACATGGAGGGCCTTACTAACAATTGCCTCCACCCAAGAGAATGAAAAGGTCAGAGCTCCCTTAGCAAGAGGGTACAAAAAAGCAACTCAGGTGGTTCAGAAATAAATGCAATATTGTGGATACAGCAGTAACACCTATGTTCCTATACTAATCGGTACACTTGGAGGGTGTTTATGTGCAGCTTTCTCCCTTAGGAGCCAAGTTCACTGCACTGAGCAGGTCATCTAGAAGCCCTTTTCATTCACAGGCTCACTCACATCTGAGGCTGTGTGGCTGAGACCGAAGAGAATGCAGTAAAAAGGTACTTTTTTCACCTCCCCAATTGCTGCAAGACCAAATAAATCAAACAACTCTACTATCTCCTGAATTGGCTTGATTGGCACATTTTCCGAGTACACCCAAATAAGCCAATCCTTCAAATAAGGACACAAAGCCCTCTCACTGGAGGGTTGCTGCTACACAACATTCATTAACACCTACAGACCAGATGACAAGCCAAACAGAAAGCAGGCCAATTGGAAGGGCTCTAAAATCTCAGGTACTTCAGGTAGGATAGATGTCCCAATTGCTCCAGCAAAAAATAATGCACATTATTTCTCTTTCCCACTCAATTTGTTCTTCTCATTATTTACCCTTTAGATTGTGAGGTATTAGGAGCATGGACTGTATTGATGTTTTATCCAGAGGTAAGCAGTTCATTCACAACTCCTTGCTCATCTCTAAAACCACATCATAAGGTTAACAAGTAGCCATGAGCAAGCTTGTTGGGTTCCCACCAATAGATGAAGGAAATGATCTGTTGGCAAACCAAACAACAAGGATCTCTACTTCCAACTGGAAGCTAATATTTTTTTAAAACACCAAATTGTAGATGACAGAAATTCCAATTCTAAGTGTTACTATAATCACCCCATTCTTATTTTTCTGAATATTTAGGTCTGAAGGCTAATTGCTTATCCAGCACGCTGCAAGACAGCATTGTTATCCTCATTAAGAGGCCTTCCACTATTTTACAACATCATACTTAACGTTACCCATGAGACCCCAATTTAAGTTGAAGGCCTATCTTTTCAACTAATCAACATTACAGTCTTGATTTGGTGCCAAGGCTGGCAGTGCTATTCATATCACCATCTGAATGTTTGAGACAAACAAAACCTCCACAGTTTTGTCCAGCTAGTAACACCTTTACAAGCACTCCATTTGGCACCTTTAACCACAGAATGAAATGAAACACTCACCTGCTAATCACAAAGTTTTTTATATTTGCAACTATAGAAAGTCACCCAACAGCAAAGAAACCAAAGCATTTAAGATGCAGTAAACTATTAACTTACAAAAACTCAAACATATGAAGATCTGCATTGGCAGTCAGTTAATCCAGAGTCCCCGAGATTTATAATAGAATTTATTTATTCCAGAGACTGAAGTTTCAGACAGCCCTTCCAAGCACAAAATTTTAATAGGTCAGAAAATACCCTATGATCTTGGAGTGAGTTTTACTTTAATATAGTATCTTGCTAGATAGTTTTGCCGGAAAGTAGGATATCAGACTGTGTGTATTAATACGTTATTAGGAATAAGATCTTAAGTCCTGTGATTTTCCTTTGAACACTATTCAGACATTCCTAGCTTTTCCATAGGTTGGACTACGCAAACTAACTTGGCAAGATGTGTCAAGGCTTGCCTTTGCTTCTTGAACTATGAAGCTATCCATCTTCCTTTGTTAGTGGTAGCACCAGCTCTTGAATCAGCAGAGAGGCATGGGAGACTTACACTGGTCACTCGACGGTAGATCTGCGCAGCATTTTGGCACTCAGAATAAGGATATTCAGACGTGGCCATCTCAAGCATACACATGCCAAAAGCATATACATCAACGGATTCATCGTATTTCTCCTCATACATCTCGGGTGCCATGAACTCTGGGGTACCTTAAATTAAAAGAACGATTCAGACTCTAAATGTCTCAAAGCGAGCAGAGGCTGCTGGCGTTACTCACCGCAGAGGGAAGCGGATGGGCAGACCTGTGAGAGAAGAGAAAGTGGAGGCAAAAAGAAGAGGGAGGAAACCCTTAGTCACTGTTGCATCAATGTATCCTATGGATATCCCACTGCAAGGCCTTTGTAAGAAGTGAGAAGAGATTTTCCATATGCAGACTGCTTTCCACATGTTACTCAACGGAAGGGCAAAAATGGGAAACGCTATGATAAAAATTGGATCAAGAGATGAAGATCAAATTGAAGACAAATGGAGAAAAAGTAAAAGACTAGCGAGACTGCAAACCAAATACCAGAGAGTGTTAGACACACTTACCTTTCCTCCCTTTAAGAAAGGAGGCAATGAGACTTATTTCAATATACCCATCTGCCCTTTGCTGCAAAAAAGTAGTATTGGTAAGAGCCCACAGCTAGTCTCTGACATGAAACTCTCCATCTACTTTTTGAAGCAGAACTGTTCAGAAAAGGCCTTGCAATGAAAAACCCGGTCACTACAAATATAAAGCTTCATATGGATTGAATAAAAGTAATTTTCTGCAAAGGCCACTCACCAGAGCCCTTTTCTTCACATACTTACCTTCTCACCTGCAGTATATAGGCCTACTGCAGATACAGGCAATAGTGAGGAACATCCTACAGGCAAAATACTTAGAAATACAGAGAGATTGAGTTATAGGTACAGTGTGAGAGATTCAACAAGTCCCAATTTAAACTGTTTGCAGAAGATGCACTACCCCTAAAGCCCCAATCACAGCGCATTCCACACAAGTGAAAAGACTGCACTGTATGACCAGGGTTTCTCCAAGCCAGAGATGCAAGACTTTAAGCAATTATTTCCTGAAAACTAACCAGATTTAAGACTGTTTGAAAATCAGTCAACATAACTTCCTTAATCTTTCCCCATAGCCAAAAATCCAGAAGTCAATAATATCCAATTAGCCACTGGCTAACAATTATTAGCAAGAACATCGAGTGATATAAGTTTTCTCCTAGAGCTTCAATTAACACATGGCAAGTGTGTGTTTTTAAAGGACATTTTATATATTGTCATCGCATTCTTTTCCACTTCTGTCAATGATCAACCACGGTCAGGAAGCAGGAAACATTTTAATAGTGACAGTGTGCAAAACATCTGCAAACTTGTATCAGTGTATATAGAAGAATAAGTACAGGACCATTCAGCAGTAGTCACTTGCAGTATTTTAATAAACTATACTCTCATTATATCGGTGTTAGCAGTATATTAAGACAGATCACCTTGCTCCCTTATTTGTCTGCATTGTATTCAGACTATCAGAACAAAAGCTGATGTAACCAATTTTCTAGGCTATCCAATGGTATCAGATACAAACTAGCTCCAACTAAAATAGAGTCCTCTACAAAGTTAGATTGACAACCTAGCAAATTTGGATATGTGGCTAGATGCTAACATCGGTATCAAGATAGATTATTGATAGAAAGGGAGAGGTATGTCACCAAAATCCCTTTGTGTGCACCCAAACAAATTGGCAATAAACACAATTTGAAATTTAAATCAGTTTAATAGTCCATAATCCAACTACCGTGGTTTTATCAACAGTGTTCATCTTAACCCTGGGGGCAAGGTAATAAGTCTATATTCTCAAAATGCTTCCACAGATTGTATCAAAATACTAAGAGCACAAATACCAAAACCCTGCAACAAAAGATATTTAATCAGTATAGCAGAACGATCCCCACAACTCAGAAGCAAAACCAGCACTACTTTTCTGAGCTCTGATCATGTATTTTAAAAAGATTACTAGAGTGAAACTTCTGCTGGGACAGCAAAGTTTCCAAGTAAGTGGACTGGATCTACCAGCTTCCAAAAACAATAGAGGCTCACCTATCACACTCTTGGCAAAGGAAGCTCGTTTCAGGGTTGCCAGACCCAGGTCTCCTATCTTGACTGATCCAGTGGGGCCAGTGATGAAAATGTTGTCACATTTTAGGTCCCGGTGAATAATGGGAGGAGTACGTGTGTGTAGAAACTGCAAGCCCTTCAATATCTGACGGCACCAACTTCGTAGTACTTTGATTTTCATCACTTTAAACCTTTTCAAATACCTGAAGAAAAAGAACAGGATAAAAGTTAATATACACCAGATTCTTTTTTTAGGTTTTTCACTCTTCTGTTAATGTATAACAATAACTAATATACAGTACTGATTCTAGTATCTGGAGTCTATGACATTTAAGGGGCCAGTTTCAGTGTACTGGATGCTCTGGAACAGTACTGTTCCACAACAGAGTGTCAGCACTCTCTGGGCTGCAGAACTGTAAGCTATGGAAGCTGCAAGCAGGTTTTTGGAAAGAGATTCACCATTCCCGCCCAGCCTTTTCCGATGCACTGATCATTCTCCTCCTTGGCCAGGGCAAAGAGCAACAGCTATGACTCAAATATTTCATGCTGTCTTTTCGACAGCTGCATTGGCCTGGTCCTGCTGACAGACTTGAGACACTATCTGCAGTTCTTTAAAATGTCACAAGAGAAAAGTCACCTATTAGATTTTGAGCTGATAGAACTAGCTATCTATGAAATACCAAACCTCAGCTTGGCCTTCTACTGTAATCATAGAACTGGAAGAGACCTCAGAAGGTCATCAAGTCCAGCCCCCTGCTCTAGGCAGGACCAGTTCCAACTAAATCAACCCGGCCAGGGCTTTGTCAAGCCAAGACTTAAACATCTCTAGGGGTGAAGACTCCACTACTTCCCTAGGTAACCCATTCCAGTGCTTCACCACCCTCCTAGTAAAATAGTTTTTCCTAATATCCAACCTGGACCTCTCCCACCACAACTTGAGACCATTGCTCCTTGTTCTGCCATCTGTCACTACTGAGAACAGCCTCTCTCCATCCTCTTTGGAACCTCCCTTCAGGAAGTTGAAGGCTGCTATCAAATCCCCCCTCACTCTTCGCTTCTGCAGACTAAACAGACCCAGGACCCTCAGCCTCTCCTCATAGGTCATATGCTCCAGCCCCCTAATCATTTTGGTTGCCCTCCGCTGGACCCTCTCCAATGCGTCCACATCCTTTTTGTAGTGGGGGGCCCAGAACTAGACACAATATTCCAGATGCGGCCTCACCAAAGCCGAATAAAGGGGAATGATGACATCTCTTGATCTGCTGGCAATGCTCCTCTTAATGCAACCTAATATGCCATTAGCCTTCTTGGCTACAAGGGCACACTGTTGACTCATATCTAGCTTCTCATCCACTGTAACCCCCAGGTCCTTTTCTGCAGAACTACTACTTAACCGGTTGGTCCCCAGCTTGTAACTATGCTTGGGATTCTTCCGTCCCAAGTGCAGGACTCTACCCTTGTCCTTGTTGAACCTCATCAGATTTCTTGTGGCCCAATCCTCCAATTTGTCTAAGTCATTCTGTACCCTATCTCTGCCCTTAAGCGTATCTACCTCTCCCCCCAGCTTAGTGTCATCCGCAAACTTGCTGAGGGTGCAATCCATCCCCTCATCCAGATCATTAATAAAGATATTGAACAAAACCGGTCCTAGAACCGAACTTTGGGGCACTCCCGCTAGAAACAGACCGCCATCCTGACATCGAGCCATTGATCACTACCTGCTGGGCCCGGCCTTCCAACCATCTTTCTATCCATCTTACCGTCCATTTATCCAATCCACAATCCCTTAACTTGCTGGCAAGAATATTGTGGGAGACCATATCAAAAGCCTTGCTAAAGTCAAGGTATATAACATCCACTGACTTCCCCATGTCCACCGAGCCTAGACTACCTAGAAGGCCCCAGTATGGCCAGAGCCTGTAAGCAAGTTGCCACTTTAACTCCATATACATACTTTCAGTAAGCAGGCTAACCCAACCTCCCTATCTAGTTACCTTAGCATTTTGCGGTTTGCATTTGTTTAATTTTGTTTACTACACCCAGACTGTGATTGCTGATAATTCACTTTCATGCATCAGAATCCCAATTCTATAGTTTTAACAAATTGCTGAATTGATACAGTATGACCTCAAATAACAGAAGGTTTCAATTTATTTTATCCTGGTTCTAACACACTTTATCTATAATTATTCCTTATTAAAATTCACATCTTCCATTCTGCAACACCTGTTCTACCCCCTCATTTTTCCTCTAATGTAGAGAAAATATAATGTAGAGACTATGTAAGAAGCTAGTTCTGTCCACTATCTTATGCAAATACTTCGTTGCCCAGACATGGCAGAGAAAAACAAGACTGGAGAGTATCAATTCTGAATGAATAGAAGTTTTGTTGGGCAGCGAGTGACAGCTACCAAGTCACCACAGCAACCACTCAGCTATTGAAATATTAATCCCAGCAACTCATCCAGGGACCTAAGATACTGTTCAAACTTGCCCCAACTTGACAAATTAAGTTAGCAGTTCTCAAAAGGTCGCAAGAGATGCAGATCAGGAAAACTCCATCTGGACTCGTGGCAGAACTCTGGGAAAACGGAGGAACCTTCTAGCCCAAACTGTGCTTTCTACAGAATGGACAGTACAGATTCAACAAATTCAAACCATCTTTCAGTGAAGACATGGCGTAGTCTGAAACTTAACACTCCGCTACCTGTCTGACAGATTATGAACAAGTCTCAAAGCAAGAGCCAGGCCAGAGACAGAACTTGTATTTCAAGGCTTCATTTGTGTCCACTTATATACAGGCTCTTTTATCGACCTCATTACCATAGTCTCTGGACACTGACTAGTAATGAATTAAGCAACATAACTATCATCTGTCATACCACTTGGTGCTCTTACCTTCTCTCTAGGAAGAGAATTGTGTGTGCAGTGTAGGGTTTTATTTGTTTTAAAAAAATATACATGTAGCTATGAGCTATTAGAGAAAAAGGTTGAAGAAATGTTCTCTGCACATGCAAAGAAAGGTGATATTTTTGGTAGTTCCTAGTTTATTCTACAGTCTTAGATTAATCCCTGAGAAGGCTGTCTCCTGCATCACCACTAACCAGTTGTCTTAATTCCTGTGACTAAAACCAAGGTCAGTACTATGGGATGCAGACAGACAGACAATCATTTACCCCAGATCATTATCGCATCAGTTCGGGTATCTGTGAATCCACTTCATTAGAAGAACTGGTCTTCATGAGATCATTTGGACCAGTGCCCATAGAGGCTCACAGCTATTAATTCCTATTACCAAAATCTGTCTGGTTCAAAGAAAGCCTTTGCAATGAAGCCTCCCGTGGTAATCCTGCTGTAAAACAGCACTGTAGAAGCAATCAGGAGCTAGGTCCAGGGGAAATCATAGCACAATTTAAGGAGAGGAAAAATGACAAAGTCAGTCAAGGAAGGGGGCAAAGGGGTGAATGAAAGAGGCTCTGGGTCCCATCAACTACCACTCATGATTTTGGCACCAATACTTTTTGCTATTGACAGTGTCATTCATCTCTAATGCCTATTCCAAGGGTCACAGAATAGTGGTATTCTAATTCAGTTTTTGCTATCTTCAGTTGCATTCTTGATCCTCAAATATGCTGGTCTGCCACCAGTTCCTCACTCAAAGAACTATTGGGCTCATATCATCCTGCATCCCTGCAAGGTTGTTGTAATTTTTGCAAAACACTGCCATAAGCTACCAGTCAAGTCACTATTAAACCTCAGACATTTAAAAAGGAAAAAGGAGAAAAGTTATTCTTGTACTGTCTTCATTGGAAAGGGACATCTTAAAACAAATATTAGTTACCAAACAGCTGCAAACCAGACAGTAAATGCATGGTTTTGGTCATCAGTAATGCAGCACAATCAGAACAAATGCAAAGTTAGATTTGCAAACTGTGCATTAACAACTATTTGTTTAAAGACTAACTGCAATGCAGGGGAAATGGTCTTAATCACTTTATGGTGTACTAGGAGATTTATCTGGTCTTGCATGTGTCCTTAGTTTTCGTTTTTTGGAAAATAAAATGAAAATGTACATGCTTCATTTAAATTACAGCTCTGGGGTCAGGCTGGCAATGAGGGATTCAGTATGCAGGCTGCCCTGGGGAGGGAACTATCCCAGCAGCTTGGGGCCAGATAAGAAGCGTCTCTCCACAACCACTGCTGCTCCAGTGGACACAACCAGAGGAGGGATGCATGTCCCGTTTGGTCTGCTTTTTGGATTCCCCACCCAGAGTGAGTAAGGTAGCAAACTGTGTACTTCCCCCCCACGCCCTGAGGGAAGGGAACGGCCAGGAGTGTTCCTTTACAAATGGGGGGAGGATCTTCAGCTCCCTCCAACTCCCACTTTAAGGAAACCTGGCGGACAGGAGGCTCTGGGCTAGAACAGTCCTGGACAGGAAAAGGAGGATCAACATGCCCTCAGCCAGATCCTTTCACCTTTCTCTTTTCTGTACAGTTGTATGAGAAGCAATCCCATTCCAGGAACATCCCTTTTTCCTGGCAAAAACCAAAGCCTTCCCTGCTTTTAGTTACGATAAGAGGAAGCTGTATGTTCAAGAATTTAAAGACTTAGCAAACAGAAAAACTCTCAAACAAGTAGCAGATATGCCTGAGGGTTATTTTCGCCTCACTGCTTGATTTTTATACAATAAATTCAGCTCCTCTAGCCTGGAGAAAAATAACGACTTCAGTAACTAAAGAAACAACATCACAATACGCTCAATGACAGATGAACTGAAATTAGAAGAGATTTTAGTCAGACTGTTTAGAATTTGGTTTGTTTTTGTTGGCACTATCATTCTGGAGAAAAGTCAGATTTGTGAAAAATTGGATATTCTCTCTTTCAACTGAAGTGAGAGTCTATGCTATACACTGAGAGCTTCTCAAAAAGGCCAACGCGATCATTGCCAGTAGTCTGGAGGTAAAACCAAACAGAAAAAGCCACTGAATACTATCAGTTGGAATGGGGAACCTTTTTTGTGTTGGGGGCTGCTGATAGGGTTGCCAGATCGTTTCAACAAAAATACCAGACACACTTGACATTACATCACAATCTAAATTACATCTTATTTAGAAAATACCGGACATGTATATTTTCCCCATTTATATTTTTTCAATTTGTTTCTCCAACAGAAAACTCAAATACCCGACCGTCCAGTTCAAA